CCCCCGCTTTCTCTTTCTTTTTCTTTTCTTTTCCGGCGTTTTTCTGGTAGCCGTTGAAGAGGGGGGGAGGGGGGTAGGTGGGGGTGGGGTGGGGTGGGGTGGAGTCGCGGCCGGGGGAGGAAGAGACGAGTGGTTATAGCAGTGCGCTGTGCCGCCGGAAGCGCGCGCGGCCGATGTTACCGTTGGTTGCCGCTGGCGTTGGCGGGCTATTGGCATATGGAAAGTGTTCATTTCTTCCCTATAATGAAATGAATGGGATGGAGGGACTTAACTCCATTCCATGTTTACGAGTTTTTTTAGGGCTTTCCATGTTTATGAGTTATGACCAAGATTTACGAGGAACCAAAAATGTTAGGCTCCTTCCTTCTCTAGATAGATCCAAAACAACTCAATCGAGACGTTTGTTCGCCTGATATGTTTGCTAGAAATGGGCCGTTGTGAGGGCTGCGGTACGTGTTTTGATGTCGCCATCCACCGTCATCGTGGCCTGACCTGTAGAATAACTCAATCAGGACATATGTTCATTACTTGCTATGCGCGTAGAGACGTGTTGCTCTGAGAGATCCGACGTGCTTTGTTGTCGTTGTCCCTCGCTACCGGTCAGTGACGGTATTTTCGCTTGCGTGGCCCCACATGTGTATAGATGTGTGCGTGCCGGCTCCACATATCTGTTTTTCTATCTTTCTCGTGTTCTCTACCTCAAAAGCATATCTAGAAGCAGGTGACTCCTGCCTCTAGCCTACGAGGGAGACGACACGCAGGAAACGTTGAGCCTAGGGAAGTCGTTGCGTGCCTTGCTTAACTTAGGATGGGTCAAAATAATTAGGATGGAAGGTGTTGATTTCACTTCATGTTTATGAACAAGATATATGAGACTATAAAAATATTGGTTATTTTCTCTTGATAGACTAACTCGTAGATTCCGACGCACAAATTATTGGAACCAAATGGGCATTCAGATTTATTGTTTGTGTTGCTTTAATGATGATTCGATGCTCGCATCAAGGAAATAGTTTTGCCGCTTGATAATTTCAAGTCTCAATTCATTAGGAGGAGATTGTACTCGTGTTTTCATTAACAATCGTGTATGATCTTATTTTTGTTTTTATACTATATCTAAATGCAACATCTCGGTAGTAACATAGTTTAGAGTTAGTGAGGAACTCGCCATCCTGGACCTACCGCTCGTGGCCACTAGCTCCTATTGTTCGATCATTCACGTGCCTTTGTTCACTATTGATCTAACCTCTATCGTGGGTTTCTTGCAAACAAAACGTAAAAAGCCAAACTTCATGTGAGACAAGATAGAAAAGGAAGCCCGCCACACACCAAGAACCTAATGTCCCATACCACTCTCGCTTCTCCCACATTGCACCCTCTCATGCCTCTCCCCTTCGCACCGGCACCACTACTCCATCTAGTAGTGTGTCGAGTAGCACCACAACTATTTAGCCCTGGCGCTCAGTGTCAAACACAATCATCTGTTGTATTTTCATCATGTGTCGACCAAGGCCACGCCGCCGCTCCATTTCCATCAATAAGGAAGCCCTCAGATGAGTCCCTTGCACCAGAGACTGCATCGCCACTCCTCCTATTTTTATAGGCCGTGCGTAAAGGAACTAGAGGTTGCATCGATAGCTATGACGATCCCAATGGATGTCGCGACTTCTCGACCACTTAACCATGGGTGACTCTATCACTCGATGTCAACCCAATAAGTCACCTTTTGTTTTCCACCTCCCTTATTTGGGCATGGATGATTTTGTTTGATTTCTTGTGTCAAATTTTGTTGGCGACCTAAGCACAGGTGCACCACTCCATGTTGGCTGGGTAGGTCTGAAGGAAATATGCCCTAGAGGCAATAATAAAGTTGTTATTTATATTTCCTTATATCATGATAAATGTTTATTATTCATGCTAAAATTGTATTAACCGGAAACTTAGTACATGTGTGAATACATAGACAAACAGAATGTCACTAGTATGCCTCTACTTGACTAGCTCATTGAATCAATGATGTGATTGACTTGACCCATCCGTTAGCTTAGCACGATGATCGTTTAGTTTGTTGTTATCACTTTCAGTTGGAAATATGCCCTAGAGGCAATAATAAAATGGTTATTATTATATTTCTTTGTTCATGATAATTGTCTATTGTTCATGCTATAATTGTGTTATCCGAAAATCGTAATACATGTGTGAATACATAGACCACAACACGTCCCTAGTGAGCCTCTAATTGACTAGCTCGTTGATCAAAGGATAGTCATGGTTTCCTGACTATGGACATTAGATGTCATTGATAACGGGATCACATCATTAGGAGAATGATGTGATGGACAAGACCCAATCCTAAGCTTAGCTCAAAGATCGTGTAGTTCGTTTGTTGTAGCTTTTGTGAATGTCAAGTATCATTTCCTTAGACCATGAGATTGTGCAACTCCCGGATACCGTAGGAGTACCTTGGGTGTGCCAAACGTCACAACGTAACTGGGTGACTATAAAGGTACATTACAGGTATCTCTGAAAGTGTCTGTTGGGTTGGCACGAATCGAGACTGGGATTTGTCACTCCGTATGACGGAGAGGTATCTCTGGGCCCACTCGGTAATGCATCATCATAATGAGCTCAATGTGATCAAGTGGTTGATCACGGGATCATGCATTATGGTACGAGTAAATTGACTTGCCGGTAACGAGACTGAACAAAGTATTGGGATACCGACGATCGAGTCTCGGGCAAGTAACGTACCGACTGACAAAGGGAATTGTATACGGATTGGATGAATCCTCGACATCGTGGTTCATCCGATGAGATAATCGTGGAGCATGTGGGAGACAACATGGGTATCCAGATCCCGCTGTTGGTTATTGACCGAAGAGGCTTCTCGGTCATGTCTGCATGTCTCCCGAACCCGTAGGGTCTACACACTTAAGGTTCGGTGACACTAGGGTTGTAGAGATATTAGCACACGGTAACCCGAAAGTTGTTCGGAGTCCCGGATGAGATTTCGGACGTCACGAGGAGTTCCGGAATGGTACGGAGGTAAAGATTCATATATAGGAAGTCCAGTTTCGGCCATCGGGAAGGTTTCGGGGGTCACCGGTATTGTACTGGGACCACCGGAAGGGTCTCGGGGGTCCACCGGGTGGGGCCACCTATCTCGGAGGGCCCCATGGGCTGAAGTGGGAGGGGAACCAGCCCCTAGTGGGCTGGTGTGCCCCCCTTGGGCCTCCCCCTGCGCCTAGGGTTAGAAACCCTAGGGGTGGGGGCGCCACCCTTGCCTTGGGGGGCAAGGCACCCCCTTGGCCGCCGCCCCCCTAGGAGATTGGATCTCCTAGGGCCGGCGCCCCCCTAGGCACCCTATATATAGTGGGGGGGGGAGGGAGGGCTGCGCACCCCAAGCCCCTGGCCTCTCCCTCTTCCTCCCGTGACACTCCTCCGTCTCCCAGCGCTTGGCGAAGCCCTGCCGAGAACACCGTTGCTTCCACCACCACGCCGCCGTGCTGCTGGATCTTCATCAACCTCTCCTTCCCCTTGCTGGATCAAGTTGGAGGAGACGTCTTCCCAACCGTACGTGTGTTGAACGCGGAGGTGCTATCCGTTCGGCACTTGGTCATCGGTGATTTGAATCACGTCGAGTACGACTCC